TAGCTGTGTGGGCTTGGTCATCTCCCAGATGCTAAGAGAAGATGACACAAGTCCAATGCCAGGAGGCAGTGGTTTTCTTTTGGATCATGGGCTTGGAAGGGATATGGCTGATTAGGGCATAGACAGCTCCACCAATCTGCCACCCATCAGAGCCGATCCCTTTGTGGGGTGGGAAGGGGAATGCCTGCGCAGAAGCAAATTTTTAGCTCACGAATCTCGACTGCGTGGTTAGCAGCCTCGGTTACTCGCACCTGGGAACCATGCCCATCTTGCAGCACAGCCTTGGGGAGGTACGAGGGGCCACGCAGCAGCAGCTGGCATCTGGTGGGCTCACTCAGTCTTCAGGGTGTTGGCTGCAAAGTGCCCACGTGCCTCCATGAGACGCCAACAGCTAGGATGACAATGCCACTGCTGCTCCGGTGCCAGGTCGTCTGCAGGGAGCGACGCGTCTCCTGCAATCTTCTTGTTCTCAGGGGACTTGGCTGCCTCCCATGAGGCGTGGGCCCTGAGCCAGCAATCCTCCCTCATGCTACCAGCTGGGGAAAGCCGTGAAGAGGATCTTTCCTTGCGACTGCACGAGCCACTCAGGAGAGCTCCAAGCAGTGAGGAACGTGCTACATGTCCCAGGCTCCAATATCCATCTGGTCCCACTGGCTGGAGGAAGAGCCAGGGGGTTCATCCCTCTCTGTGCAGGGAGGTCGCCGTCCGAGGGGGTGAGTGGATTGCAAAGACCTTTTGCAAATGAGATCTGATCTGGAACACCTGATCTGAAAGTCTGATCTGGAGCTGATCTGGAACAGCCCCATGGGTTCAAGGAACTTGTTCCAAAGCTGTCCTAACCTTGATAGGGAGCACCCACCCTCCCACACCTTTCCTCCCGTTCAACGTGCAGACACCCACAAGAGGACCAGGCCAAGTTCTCCTCTGCTTTGCTGCAGGGAAGCCCCGGCCCACCAGGTTCCCATCCCCGAGGCCCCCAGTGCCATCATGTTTGTAGCGCAGTCTTGGAGCTTGAACCATCACCAGCTCCATTCTCCCTCAGCTCGCTGCTTCTGGCTGCTGCTTCCTGGGGTTAATCTGGAGAGAGACTGAAAGTGCTAAAGGCTTACAAGCACTTGGTAGAATTGGGTGCTAAGACTTAGGATTGTCCCTGGTAGCTCACCTCCCTCTCCACGTCCAGCCTGACCCACGGTTGTGCTTCTGAAGCTGAGCTGAAGAAAAACCATGGAGCAATAAAGGGAATGACCAAATTTTCACAGGCGTTCAACACCCAGAGTGTCTCATCAGCCTCAGCTGGGAATTTCTATGTGTCGAGACCTTAGGAAAATCTCGTTTTCTGCCCTGAGCCTTGAGGGCAGGCAGTAGGGGCTGCAGGCCCGTACAGAAGGGCAAAGCCCCTGTGTGCATAGAGGTCATTGCAGAACTCCTTCCTCTCCCTGCTTTGAGGTTCAATCAATCACAGACTCAGTGCTGGCCTTCCCATGCTGAAATGCGGGGCCTGGCTCCAGTCCCTGGGCAGACTCTGCTGGCTAGAGGGTCTTCTGTGACTTTGCAGGTTAGAGGAATCTACCTATGTTACAGGTTCGCCTGAATGACAAGCCGGTCTCTCCACCTACTGCTTTCATGGGTTATCAGAGCTCTTTTCCCGTCTCCATCAGAAAGCAAAACATGATGGCATCTTCACTGCAACATCAATGACTTCACAAACTACATGTCCTTTATTTGTCTTTACAGCAACCCTCCCGCCCAGTGCTTTCAAATACCAGACAAGAGCATGGGCATCTCACAAATGCAGTGCCCTCAGCCACACTGGCATCACTTCTGAGTAACACGGCTGACTTCCAGCTGAACTCTGAGGCCGGAGACCTGCCTCTGCTCTCCCCGCTTCCCACTGCATGTAATCAACTGGTCTAAATCCTGCAGTGGGCACTTGAGCAAAGCCTCCTTCAGCCACAGCTGCAATTTTGCTTGGGAAGCAGCTGTAGGATCTGGCCCAGTGCTTTCTGGTTCTTTGAACCGATGAAAAACAAGTCTGTGCATTTCCAATGACAGAGAAATCTCCAGGAAAGGGCAATGTCAGTAAAACTGCCTGGGCATTTTGTACAGCTGATTTGGAGCCCAGATCAGAGAGCTGAGGCTGAAACCCCTAACCCCATTTTTGATCAAGGTTCAGATGCTCACTGGGTCTGACTATCCCACCAGCAAGAGCCCGTACAGCCAGAAGCCACAGCACCCCAGCAGCTCCCATCTCTGGCGCTAGACTCTGGTGCAGCTAATGCCAAGTGCAGCAAGCAGCAAACTCAGAACTGGCAAAAAAAAATAATGTTTAATACTGTTTGGAAAGAATGGCAATGCTTTTCTTTGATGAGAAAATAAAAGACGAAAGGGGGTAGTGAACTCTCCTGCTAAATGCCTGCCCCGCCGGGGGCCGCTCGCCACTGCCGCACAGAAAGGGGCCAGGCCTCCCTCGGACAATGCGCTTGGTGCGTGACACAAAGGAAACTCACTTGGGATACGATACACAATTGCCGGAGAAGCTGGAGAATGCACGGTTTGTTCTGGGCCGTGTTCGGCTGCCGCGGTCGGGTTCCGAGATGTCTCAGCAGAACTGCAAGAGATCAGACTTGCTGCGAATGAGGCCACGCCGGCTGCCATGAAAGAGCCCTAGATCAAGGGGTTGCCAGCAAAGGGGAGGGGATCTGAAGCTGGCAGCACATGCTGCTCCTGGAGAAGAGGGTGCCTTCCCTGTCTATTAGCAGAGGACTTCCCCAGCCCCTGGAGCCATTGTTTTGATCCCCTAGCTGGAGAAGCCGGGAACCACAGCACACGAGTGATGCTCAATAAGCAACACGGTGCTCAGAGCAGAAGCCAGACTCCTGGGTTCTAATCCCAGACTTATTGGCACATTGGACTAGTCACTATCTTGGGTTCCTCTGGTTTCTATCCTGGGTGTAACAGCGTGGCGAGGGCCAGCCAGCATCTGGAACGTGCCTTGGAGGAAGGCAGCTTCATATTCATTGCCACGAGGATGCACAGCAGCTACAAGAGCCGTCCCCACCAATACCCGCCCCGGTCAGTGTGAAGGATGGCTGCGGCTGCCCTACCTTCCAGCGGTTCCCACACTCGTTACACACGACAAAGGTGGTCATGGGCTCGTCGGAGCTGCGTGTCTGCACCTGCATGTGAAAGGCAGGGAGGTGAGAGTCCATGCAGAAAGATCTGCATGGGGGCAGGTGGGGAGGGGTGTTGGCTTGGTAGCTATCAGGAGCCCCAGGTTTACTTATCAGAAAGCAGATGGGATGGTAAGGAAGAGGTCTCCTGGGACCTCATCTGGCAGGCTGCATGGAGGATCAGGCAGGTGGGAGAGCAGCCTTTCAGGAGCCAACAGTCTAGCACCCCAGAAGTTGCCCTGCTCATCTGCAGCACGTGAGCCAGGGGACAGGGCCTGACTTCAAGAAGTGTCATGGGTCTCTGGAGAGAGGCTGAGTACAGGCAGTTTCCCCTGGCCTCACCCGGAGCAGGGAGGGTCCTGCCCCCAGCGCTCTGGCCAGGCTGCGGGACTGACCTGAGTGTAAGTGCAGTTCTTCTTCTTGCATTTGCCGCAAGTGAAGAGGTCGGTCTGAGTGCCACCCGTCTTGGCCATCTGGTGCTCCCGGATCGCCTCTTTCGTCATAGCCTTCCTGATCTCCTTCAGCTCGTTACTGGCCATTTCCTTCCAAGGAGGGAACACAGCTACATCAGTCCAGCTTCACCGCCCACAGCCACCACCCTACTGCAGCATAGGGATGCAATGGCTGGCAGGGAAGACCAAGGGGACGGGTAACAGCCCGTGACACGTCCCACTGCTAGGGCACCCACTCATGTCTAGCCCAGGCCACCTGTGGCCAATGGGACATGAGCTCAGCCTAAATCAGAGTAGACAACTGTCCCCACCGCAAAGCCCACCAGCAACTGGCCCTGCTGGAAGCTTTAACAGAGAGGCCTGGTATTGAAGCACCTGAGGATTGGGGCAGGGAAACATACTGCTGCTACTCACTGCTACACAGAAGGCTTCAGCTTGTAGAGCTTCCACAGTGAAAATGTAACTCCCCAAACATGATATTTGGCCCTGAAAGATGCATGCAGGTTGGAGTCCTAAGACTGGTGTCTCTGACCCACCTCCGAGGTCATCACAGCAATCTGCTCCGGGGTGATTGCCCCGCACAGCACGTTCTTCCTCAGCTCGGGGTTCTTGGAGTCCTTCAGGTTGGAGATGCGGCTCCTCACCCGGTTCTTGTACTTCATGTCAGTGTTCTTGACGTCTTGGTATATACGTGTCAGGGCCGTTAAGGAGCTAGACGGGGAATAAAACAAGCCCTGCCACCACCCAATGCTCTCAAAGCACATTCCAACCAGTAATGAATTAAAGCCTTGCAGTTTTAATGAGGCAGGGCAGGGTTACCGTGACCAGTGACTAGATGAGGGCTGCACAGGTGGGGAGAGGCTCTGGCTTCTGCAGGATGCTGCTCACTGAGACCGACTGCATTAGCCTTGCCACACTGCCCAGCAGTAGCACCGCAGTCATGCTGTCTTTGGTGGAACTGGGCTGCTACCTGGTCCCCCTGGCCTGGATATCAGCAAATTCCTTCGGGGGGGGGAGTGTGGGGAGGTCTCCAGAGGGAAGCCTGGACCTGGCGGCAGGAGGCAGCATCCCAAGAGGATGAGGAACCAAGCCAAGGCAAGTGCCTCGCCAAGGCGTCAGAGAAAAGACTGACATCAGTCACACCAGCACGGGGTTGGCTCTGAGCTGCCAACCCCAACTCTGAGCCCCCAAGAGCAGAAGCGCTGCGCTGACAGGTACAGGCTAAAGCTGCTCACCTCTGCTAGCAGCTTCTGACCTATCCCCCAGCACTGCAAGGATATATTCTTCAATCTGGGCGGCGAGATGCTCGCAGTCCGCCCCGATGGCAACGTGGTCACCTGTAAAATTACAGGAACAAGGAGCACAAACCAGTCACTTTCAAACAGCCACGGGAGCCCCCAGCCCTGAGGTCGGAGACCCTGGGAGCCCAGGGCGATTGATTTGGAGGTACACGATCCCTCCCTTCATCACACAGAGGGCGCAGCCTTTGAAAGACGACTGTGATCAAACCCAGCAGTCCCCCACCAACCTCATCGGAGGGCTGCGCAGGGCAATGCAATGCTGAGCTTGGCCTGCAGAGGCAGCAACATGCATTGCTACGGGCACCATCCCTGCGGGGCCCGATTCTAGCCTTACTGTGGTGTAAATCAGAAGGAGCCACACTTGGCTCAGTGGAGTTTTACGGCATTAAACCTGGTGCAGCTAGAACCAGCCCTAGTGCCTCTTCTTGACCAAACTGCCCTGCACCCCCATTCACCCTGCCCTCCTCTTGCTTCTTACTGGCCATGACTGAAGCAAAGCAGCTGGTTAAATCAAAGCAAACCACTTCAGGGGAGGGATATTAAGCAATCTAAGTGATGCAACAAGGATGTGCGTTTGGCTATGGGACATGGCACGTGACTGGTGAGCAGCAGGGGACATGCAGCCTGAGCATGAAACCCCATTAGGCCGAGGAGATGAGGGACAGGGGAGGGATGAGCAGAGGCTGCAGGGGAGACTTCTCCAGGCTGGACAGCAGGTTTGTTGGAAAACAGATGCATGTGCCTGAGCTTCCAATACGCAGTGCTGAGCCCCCACCAGGCATCAGCTGGGGAAGCAAGGGGGAAACCGAGAGACAGATTTCTCCCAGAGCCCTTCCAGATGTTCAGCCTTTGGAAGACTGCTCCAACCCAGCTGCATTCCCTAGAAGTCCTGCCCCAAGGGCAGAATATAAGCAGCATCAGTGTGGCCACTAGCAACCCAGCGTGCTGAGACCCAGCTCTGCTTTCCCCAAGGGCAGGAAGGGCTGTCAGCCCTTAAAAGCAATCAGACAAGGCTGTGTGTTGGGCACAAAGCGAATGCTTTGGTGCAATGAGGTAAGAGGCAGAAGATACCCAGTGGCAGGTGGATGTTGGCCTTCTCCAGACTGCCCCCCATGCAAAGGCCGCAGCGTTATGCAGGGGACTAAGGACTGCAGTGCTGCTCCATGAGGACTATCCTGACTCGGGCCTGGCCCCTAGCCCGAGATCAGTCCTGCAGCAGGCATGAATGTCCAAAGTGCCTTCCCACTGGCAGCCAGCACGGTCCTTGAGGCCAGGCCTCTGGGTTACTTACTGTCACTCTGCAGAGCAGAAGTCAGCATCTCTCTGCATTTGTTGCGGACAGCATCGCAGGTGACAGGCACCGGAGGGAAGGTGGTGATTTTGGGGGTGGTCGGTGTCTTCGGCGCATCCTGCCTTTTGTTGGAGCTAAAAGAGAAACTTCACCTGTCAGAATGTCTCAGTTCAGGGCAAAGCAGTGTAGGGAGCAGTGAGCATGGGCTCAAGTGGCCTGTTAATCGCAACATAAACCCAGTCAGGAAAAACCCAACACAAAGACGCTTGTCAGTGGCTGCCCCCCAAATTTTCACGCAGTGGTGTTGACCTGAATCTGAGCACAGCTCTCCCCTAGCCATACGTGGCTCTTGAAGCCGATGGGTACTGGCCAGGTTGGCTGGTAGTTTAAAGGGGCAGGATACAATATCATCCACGTTAACAGATTTAATCCACAGAACACATTAAACCATTCTACTCCTGGATGTCAATAGAAAAGACGCTCGCAAAGCCAAAGGACACTGCTGACTACCCACATTCACATCCAGACGCAGAGTTTGGCTCTGGTGTTTTGGCAGATGGACGTGGTATTTTGCGGTGACAGACAAGAGTTGCCTGAAGCATGTCTGGGGCGATGCCCTTCCGCTGGACAATCAACCAGTGAACAAAAGGAATCTCCTTCTCAAAAACACTGTTTGAGAGAAGGTGTTTCATAGAGATGTTTCTGAGGAAGGAGCTGGGACCACATGATCCTGGTACCTCCAGCATGGGGAGAGCAAGAGAGAACTTCAGAGCCACTTTCCTTGCCCCCCACCATCAACACAATCGAGGATCCAGCCCGGTAACGACGAGTTTCCTGGTTAAACTCTGCATGCAGAGGGCCTGGCTCCAATTAGCGAGGGCGTTTATCACGATAATCTGCAACCCTCCCCCCCACACTGAATATTCACACGTGTCACTTTGGGGAGTTTTTCCCTATTTAGGAATGAGCAATGTTAGAATGGGTCTTGAGTTATATTGCCTGGTTAGGATTTCAAGAATAGGACCAACGTGGCATTTTTTTATTTTTTTTTTTGCTCTTGGCAGAAGGGAGAAGGATCCCTAGTTTTACTTGGAGAGTAAACACCATAAAACGTGCCGCAAAGCAGTTAAGCAGGTCATTAAAGTGAAGCAGTTTGTTAAAATATGCATTACCTTCTACTCTTGGCAGTCTGAAAGCAGAACAGGGCAAGGACAGGCCAAGCCGTACTCAGGCTAGGAATATTTAGGTACGCCCATCATGTTTTACACCTACTTCTATGCCTCACTTCACCCAGTTATCCCATTAGTCACTTCTGCAAAATGCAGAGCCTGTAAAAAAAAAAAAAAAAAACCTCTCGCCCTTCAAATAAGCCTAGTGCTTGTTGAATGAGCGAGGTGATGTTAGCCGGGTGACCTCAGTGACTGCCTAGTGAACCCCTCCACCGAGGAGGCAGTGCCAGCAGAGACGTGGACCCCACTGCCAGTCTCACCAGCTCAAGGACTAAGCCAGCAAATCTCAACCGGGGTCCTTGAAACCCCTGCGGTGCCACCAGATCCTTTGACAAGTGCTCTGGTGTGAGGAGATAAAGCACAGAATGAGGAGGAGATAAGCAGGGTGTGAGGAGATAAGCAGACAAGCTAAGCTGCTAACCACAGGCTTAGGCTTGCCCCTGCCTGGATGATTCACTGCCCAGCCCCGCTGCAAGGTGAGCCCTGTAATCTATAACTGAGTTTCTGTGGATTGAGTGGCACCCATTTCAAAAGTGATGGAGACGGGGGCTCAAGTCCAATGAGGGGGGCCTCCAGTCGAAAAAGGCCAAGCCCACTCAGCCACTCTGTGCTGTAGCTTCCCACGAAAGGGACAGTCCCCACACCGGCAATTTCAACAGGGCTGCACACGTACAACCAAATCGTATAAGAAAGCGGCTCTCCCCAGAGTCCAATGGGCGAAACTTTAATCCAGCAGTGAGAAACGCAACCCTGCTCCCCACCTACCTGCCAAGCTGGTACCCAGAGGGAAGGGGCACGCAGCAGGGCTTCCGCACCCCTAGATGCTGCGGCAGCAGGCCCCGACCAGAGCAACCAGGGCATCTAGGAGGCAGGGCAGGAAGGGAGGAGTGTGCAACTGCCAATGCCCCACATCGAGGAGAGCAGTCCCTGTGTTAGCCCCACGCCCTGTTATATGCTGTGCATTGTGCGATACCTGCCCCCACGCAGATCCCTGAGACTGGAGGGGAAGAAGTGAAGTTCCCTCATCGCTAGCTTTACCGGCTTCTGTCTGGTGGTTTTTCCCCAGCAATATTAAAATCCTGCCAGGGACCTTCCCCAGAAAGCCTGGCTCCTAACAGGGGTCTTATCCAAAGGCCAGGCAATGGAATGATTCAGTTGAATGCTCATCTTTCAGGCCTCTGCCTCCCCAGTTGACCTGCCAGCAAAAGCTGGAAAAAGCAATGATATTTTATATGGATACATATCCATTGGAGCACAGCCCAAGGACACTAATTCACTCCCAATAGGCCAGCTGCCAGCATCAGGGGGAATGAGTTTTTGGCTGAACTGAAGCCAATGATCTGGAAGCAAAGGCCCAGGTATTTCATACCCAAGCCCCACATATTTCCAGACAGGTTCTTTGCCCCATTCAACCCCCCTTGCAACTGTCAGGCAGCACAAACCACTGCAGGTCGTCTAAGATTTCCACAGCAGACAGTGAGCTGGCTCCCATACCTCTCATTTGAGCCTCCATGGACAGGTCAGCCACGGGGAAGAAGAAGGGCCAAAGACCAAGGCAGTTCCTAGCCAAAAAGGTCCATTGTCACTGGAACGATCTCTTCTGACTGGTTCTCGGGCACTAATGCCTTTAACCTGACATAGATGGCTGCTCTGTAGTCTAAGGACTGAGGGGGCAACACAATATTGGATTGGATTTGTACTAACAATACTGATGTACCCTAATATCAGCCCCAACAGCTGTCCAGTCCTCATTTTCATAGATCAGCAGAAGAGAAACACAAAAGACTCCAGCACAGTTTGTCCTCTTGTGTCTACATGCAACTAAACGAGCAGCCCCGGCACAAGAGAGATGCACCATTTTGGAGTTACCTTTTCAGTGTTGATAATTCATAATAATAATAAAAACCAAAGTGCATTTCCCAGCCTGGCAAGACCTTTCGGTCCACTTGAATCTTCTAGGAGGGCTTTTCAGTATGGAGGGGGGTGAAGTTTCTTGGGTGCATATTTCCCCCCCTAGTTGCCCAAATGTCACCCAGGTGCTAGCTAAAGCACCCCTCACACAACAAACTAAATACTTAAGTAAGAAGAGGCTCTGCTAAAATGTTTGCAATCCTGGAGCCTAGATCTAGGAAAAAGTACTCTATAAAATCATCTGGGAAACATATTAGGCCAAATGTACTCAGGTTTCAACTTGGCATTTGGTTTTTCATCTGCAGCATGTGTGTGTAGGGTGGGGAGAGGGGGCTGTAAAATGTGATGTGCAGATGATAGCACCAAAGGACAAGATGTAGAGACAGTCTAAGCATACACAGAGCACAACTGGGGTATACAGTTACTGCTAGTGCAGCTGCATGCCACACAGATGCGTGCAAGAGTCCTCAGTGACCCAGCTTGCTGGCACCCTCATAGTAAATGTGCCTATCTGGTGCCCAATCGCATGCCTAATGTTTTTCCGACTCTGGCTCCATATGACTCAAACCCCAATTTGCATATCCCATCACAGATGGACATTTGCAATCTCAGCTGTGCCCACAATTGGCTACAGGTGGGAAATCTGGTCATTTTTTGTAAATACAGCCCTATTTATTTGACCTTAGCCAGCCACATCCTGCACATGGCTGCAGAGAGGGACACTTCTGAAGTCCATGGAATTAGAAAAGTCTCTCCCAGATCTAAAAAAAACCACGTCATTACTTAGGCTGTGGTTCGCACGGCCAAATTTTAAAAAGCCATTTTCTCCCCTTCCCTACGCCAGCTGCTGCAGAGCTGGTCACAGCTCTAGGCAGCCTTGTCCTGGCTGCACGAGCTGGTTGGTCTGGCACCATATGAACGTGAACTACGGACTAGTGCACCCTAGGTGAGGGCTCTCACCATGAGTTACTGGCCAGTCTGGGATTTGTGTGGTCTTGTTGTTCACCAGAAATGTGAAGGATATTAGGGTCTTCCACATGCAAGCAGGGGGGAAAAAAAAAAAAAAACAACTCAGAGCTTCCATGGAAAAGGAAACCTCATCTCCTGCTCAGCTCCAAAAAAGGTCTATTTGTACCTTCCCTTCCCTACCTGTCCTGGAGCTATGTAACCCCTCACAATCCTTTAGAACAGTAACCCAATTTGTGGGCAGTAAAAACAGAGGTTCCTCGGGTGGTGACCACTGGCTGCTTTGGTAAAGAATAGCCGAGACACTGAACAATGTTTTCTTCCTACATTTTAAACCTTAGCTGAACTGGGCAGGATCCCAGCCAATTGCTCTTGGACTAAAACTTAACAGATTTCATGGCCATTACACAGGTTATTTAGCAAGCGTGCTTAGAAGGGCTGGGAAGGAAGCCTCACACTCATCACCAAGCAGTGTTGGGTCAAGTCTTGTGCTTCACATCGTTCCAGTCAAATCAGAGACAGGGAGCTTAGGAATATTATCCGAAAGGAGAATAAAAACACTGTGCATTGAAAAAGAAATGGTAACAAAATGGTGGCAGGGTGATGGGCAGATGTTATGAACAAAGCTCAGACAGCAGTGGCAAAGTGATGGATAGAAAAGCAGAAACCACATTCAGGGAGATGCATCCACCCACTTAGAAGGGCTTAATGAGCATCCTCGCAAAAGGAAAAACTCCCTGCTGCCGAGGATGTCCCTGGTAAAAAGTAGGATAGCCAAAGTCCAAAATATAGCCACACAGCAGAACTGTGCGTTTTGGCATTACAGTGCTGCTCTGTGTAATTGTATGAGGGCTACCTGCCCCCCGCATGGCAGATCATTTCATCTCATCTGGCAGGAGTAACAAACTCCAGCCCCACAGATGTGCTAGATCCAGCCACAACGACTTTAGTTCTCTAGCGGCTGCAAGAGGAATTCCCCATCTGTGCTGCAGAAAGCAATCCCAGGCCAAGGAGCTTTCCAACTTGTTTTCCCTGACAGGAGGGTGAGGTTCGGCCAAAAATCTGTCAGGCTAAGTGGCTGAAGTAGGAGCATTTCAACACTGAGTGACCTCTGCGGTACTTTGATAGCATCCTCATCAAACACGCGTCGTCGTGCACTGCTCAGCCCTACTGTCTGACTAGTTTGGTCTCAGTCTGCGCTCCAGTGGGGAGCCTGGGGCTGCTCTTTGCCAATAAGATAGCTCAATTTGTCAAGGAAGATTAGTTTATTTTGCAGGGCTGGAGCATGGAGGCTCTGCTCTGTGAGCGGCAGTACTGCGCCGAGGACTGAGAACGGGAGCTGAACACCAGACTCCCGGCATGCTACTTTCCTGGACTGGTCTTTCCCCTTCTGTAACATGCAAGTGAGACCTCACCCCCAAGAGGGAGCTGGAGCTTTAATGTCTGCAGAGCATTTGAAGAGAAAAAGGAAAGCAGTAAGTGCAGCACCTCTCAGCCATTCCAGAAGCCTGGAGAGCTGAGCCTGGCATGAGTAATCTGCTGGACCTTGGTTGCTAGGTTAAAAACAGGCAAGCATGTTGGTGCTTCCCTGACCGTCACTGAAAAGGATATCCTCAGCTGAAGCCACTACAGGCCACTTACTCCAAACTGTCCCTTCCTAGCAGACGAGGACCACTTTGCTTACAGTTTCCACCTCACCATGCTCTTTCTGCACTGTTGAGGTGCTCTAGGCAAAAGACTTTGGCATCACAAGAATTTCCTGAGCAAACTCCTCGAGCCACAAAGCCAGAGGTTTCCCCTTTAGAGATTTAATTCCAGCACAGCATCAGCCAAGCAGTTTGCTCATCTATTCCCCTTCAAGGACAGAAGTGAACTCAGGTTAACCATCTGCCTATAAGGCCATCTCCATTTTATAGCTGGAGCAGTGGGGTCAGAACTAAAGAGATGCAAGGTGGCTCAGACAGGGCTGAGGCAGGGGTTCTGGGTCACAAACCTGTTGACACACCTTGGCTATGACTGGATCTGAACTAGGGGCTGTCCAAAGGGCCATGCCAGTACCAATTTTAGGCTACACTACCACTTGGCCTAAGCCCTCAGCTCCAGAGAGAGGAATGGTTACTAAAAGCAGTGCAATGAGTGTGTTAAAAGGTCCTCGTCCAGAGCATTCAATGCAAGTTTGCACAGCTGGAGGATATCCAAGGAGCAAGTTAAAATCCTGCAACCCAGCCACAGCATCAGGATTTTTCTCCATGTCAGGTCTGTGCCAAGTTGCAAGGGTATGAAAACATCTGAGTTAATGGACCAGGTCCTGTGACAGCTCTGAGCAAAGATCAAAGTGCAAAGGGGAGAATCTCACAGAGATGGACCAAAACAGGGGGAGGTGTAGATGAGCATGAGAAAGAGCCTGCAATCTAGAGACAAGTATGGACTCAAGTGAGGGTTTCGCCCACAGAGAATATGTGAATCCTCAGGAAACTGGCTAATCCTGAGGTTCCACACTTTACAGGACAGCCAGGTCCCCAAGGTCTTTGGGGACATGCAAGCTATGAGGAAGCATCTGCGTCTTCTCTGAGAGAAGCATGGCTGAGGCTCGAGAGTGAAGTTTCTCTAAACCCATAACTTCTCTGCTCTCTCCTCGCCTCCCTCCCTGATTGTCTATAACAGCAGGTGCCAGCTGGGAACAGACCCACTCCTTGAAGAAGGAATGAGCCAGGAGCAGACTGGCTAAATGGGTGGGCATGTCAGGCCACTGTTGGCTGGAGGAGTGGCAGGGACATCTCTCCAGGTCTTGCTGGGAGGTGGTCACGGCTAGGGAGGAAGCACTCTTGCTAGGAGGATCTGCATATACATGGCTCCCATGTGTCATCTTATAATGCGAAGTCTAAGCATAATCTTTACCCTCCTACCAGACTCAAAGGGTTAAAAGTAAGCAGGAGAGAGAGAAGTATAAATATGCAAACACAAGAAAAACAAAATGCAAAGGAATGTTTTATTAATGGAGAAAGAAACCGGTATTAAACAGAAGGGAATGAGGACACATGAAGGTGATGTAAGTCATGAATAAGAAAGCAAAAAAAACTCACTACAGCCACTCTGTTTTGTAGATGTTTATTTGTCCACACAGTTGTTATTTGCCTTTATTAAAACGCCAGATGAATCTCCAGGAAGCCTGGACTCCTGGCAGGTCTGATGAGACCCAACCAGTTGAGCAGGCCAAAGATTCCCAGCCCGAAAAGCATGTTCATGATCAAATGTTAACAAAGGGAGCCAATGGCAAACCAAAAAAAAAAAAAAAAAGAGATGTACAAGGGTATCATTTTTGGCAAAAGGGAGGCATTACCTTTGGTCTCTTGAGTTGCCGCTCTCCTTTGAGGAAGAGGTTGGCAAGGAAAGGTTCCTCTTCTTCTCCTCACTTTTTTCCTCTGAAGCATCTGTCCCCAGCAAGAAGAAGGAATGAAAAAGACACTTAGATGCTACAGAGGGTTTAGGACAGGTCTCTACACAACCCTACCTATCCTAAACCCAAGACTAACATAGAGAACTAAGTCATCATAGCTTAACATACCTTGCAACAAGCCCCCAGCCACCTTCCTATGAGCCTCTGCATGGAAAGGGTTCTAGCACACCTCCTTCCTGCCTAGCCAGGGGACAGAACTGGTCTTCTTTGCTCCCCGAAGAGATTAGCTTCCTCATAAGGGAGCTCCATTTGAGCCAGTTTCCCTCCTAGCAGAGCCCTTGCTGCTGAATGCACAGACTGGAGTACAATTTTTCAGAAGTCCCTCTGACTTTTGAAAATGGGACTTCGACACAACACAATTTAAGAGTGCTTAAGAGGGCCAGCACCTCTCAAGGGAGGTCTTGGCAGCCCTGGATACACTGTTTTAAGAGATCTATGTCTCTTTTAAGTTAGTTCAGTACTGTTGAAAGACATGACAGACCCAGAGGCAGGAGTTTGATTTTACCACAACATGGGTCCAGCTGAGGAATCAGCAAGGACAAGTTCTTCTAATGGCCTCACCATTAGGTCTCAGCCCTGCCGTGCAACAGCCAGCCATAGGCATGAAAGGAGCATTCAGTCTGTGTGGCCTATTTAGTTTTGGCACAAAGCATCTGCACTCAGCTTTCTTTGAGAAGAGCTGCCGGGGCTAGTTTCACTTCACGCAGAGCCTGAGCAGACTGTGGTCCCACTGAACAGAGAGGGTACACAGCGTTTGCACCAGCAGTTTTTAGCTTCAGTGAAAGGACCCTGCTCTAAATGTCACCAGGCCTAGCTCTGATGGCAACTTCCTGAAATATCAAGAGACATTACGAGGCTCCTAGGATCCAGAGGAGCTTGATCTCATCAACAGGATTTTACAAAAGATTCCCTCTCTTCTAACAACAATCATGGGAAATAGTTCCAGCTTCTCTTTTCCTGATGCTACTCCAGAGGCCCTAAAACTTCATATGTAAGAGTACAGTATTCCTGCCCCAGTGCCATGCTAATGCTTCTTATCTCCAACCTTGCTAAACAAGGTGTGGTTTAGGATACATGAACTAAAAGCAATCTGGTGCTTTAATTCCACCTCTCGGGCAAGGAGTTTTTCCTAGAAATAGGAACTCAGTCTTATTGTTCACTGCAATTCCTGGTGTAGGACATGAAATGCTCGAGAGTGCTGCTTTAGGATTCAAGAGTCGCTGGTCTGCTAAAACTTATCATTAATGATGGAGACAGAGGACCCCTAGTATAATAAACAGCCTGCAGGACATGATAGCTACTGGAGCTGCCTCCTGGTAAGCTGAATCCAACCAGACAGGCCCATTCCCTTACCGAGAAGCTTTTTCCAGGACTTGATGAGCGATTTGGCGAGTGATATCACTTCTTCATCAGTGCTCTGCTTCCGCAGGGCATTCACAGACATCCCGATCCGGGTGGACTGCAAACCAATGGTCAAGAAGTGAACCATTCAGGAACTAAGAAGGAGCTGGCTTGTAGTACTACAAGGAGAGATCAGCTGGTGCTCACTGGAAATACAGCGGTGCAGATCAGGGCACACAAATCCCTGGGCCACCACACCATGAACATGCCCTTCCAGCTTGCTCTGCTCAGCTGTTGCTGTAGAAAAGTAAACCAGCTGGCTGATTTAAAGTTAGCCAAAGGCTCCTTTATAACTGATTCCTATAATACATGCAGTCTCCATGATACCTTTCCTCTTGCCTTGCACAACTAGATGCAACTGAAAGCAGAGCAGGTTTTGAAAGAAAATTCCTCCGAGTCCTGGAACATTAAAACCAGGACAAAAATGATAAACAGATGCACAGCTGTGAAGCAGGACACTTCCAGCCGCTGTGGTGGCTAAAAGGATTTGAAAATAAAGGGATATTAAGCAGCTTAATTGGAGCGTGAGTCTTTAAAGACCTTTTCCGGTTTCAGCACAGAGCTAAAGCTCTTAATTTTTCATAATTGCTTAACCTTGTTTCAAGTGCTGAATGGTGCAGAGTACAGAAAGCTTCCCCCTAGAATCGTGCACCAATGCAACATTCCCCTGACCTAGTCATGGCTTCACCTCCTGGCGCACACATTTTGCCCCTCTGCTGAGCCCTGCTTCAGCCCGCACCTCCCCACTCAAAACCAAAGTCAATGCTCCACCTTATTAAGTATTACAAAGAGGTTTTTAAGATGCAGCTACCTCTGGCCTCATATTTGCTACTGCAGTCTCTTTTCCCTCTCTCTCTACTTAGCCCCTAGCAGTGATTTTGGAAAAGGTGATGATTTCACCAAACACCTTGACACAGATTTTGGAAGCATCTAATTATGAAGATGAATAGTACCCGTAGCACCCAGTATGGTGAGGCATTGTAAATAAGATGTTACAGCAGTTTAGTGCATCTTTTAATGAGGGAGAAGGGAAAGA